GACTAGCTTTCAACGAGTAAGAAGGAAACCCGAGACTTGAAGAATATGCAGATGGATATGAAGAGCTGATACTCAGTATCCTCACCAAGTTAAAGCCACACTAAAACTCACAGGAAGGTGAGTGCTGTGAGCTGAGAGAGGTCATCATTCAGCAATCGCCCCTGCCGGTGTGGATCGTCCGTTTCCAGGCTCCTGCGCACAAGAAGATGCCAGCAAGAGGCTGCTTCTGAGGCACCTCAAAAGCAGGTTCAAGCGCACAAGAAGATGCCGGCACGATTCGGAGCACTTAGAGCAGCTCAATCCCAGCCATCGCCATGGCTGGCACGTGTGGTCCTCCTCGTGTCTCATGGGGGATGTGGCGTGGCGTGTGACAATGATGGAGTTCGAGAGTGAAGTAGGAGGGTGAAGCGGGAAGACCCCTAAACCCTGGAGCTCACAGATACTGAAGGTTGGTGAGTTGAGTGACCCAAATGGGGAACTCCACGAAACGTAGGTAGGAGAGATCCCTGCAGCAGGGAGGAAAGCAGGAGCAGAGCACGTCACGTAGACAAGCCAATGGAGCTGCAGTCATGTCCGACGAGGGGATGGGGATGGGGATGGGGATGGGAATGGGGATGGGGATGTGTTACTCGTGCACGAACATGAACGAATTCGCTTCACTTGTCCCATCAGACTTGGGTGAAGCTTACAGTGCAGTGAGGGTAGTCAGGTACTGAAGCTCTCTGGGTATCTCCCCTGTGGCGTTTCTGAGACTCCGGACTTTCCTGCGCTCATGCACATGCAATCAGCCATAATGAGCAAAACACCATTGCCAAATGCGAGCTGGTATGGACCAAGTCACATGGTGACATGCAGATTAAGAATACGAACAAGGATCCACGCCACCACTGCACCGTATGTTCTTGTATGGCAATGATGCTTACAGCTCATGTAGGCTTCTCAGGTGTGAAAGAATGTCCAGGGAGGACAAGTCCCCTGTGAAAAATACCAAGGACTGTAGAGTCCTGGTTGAAGAGAGGGAAGTGAGTGAGGCATGGGAGAAGAGAAGCCATTGGGGGTGGTGTAGCGTAGGAGCATGGGGACTGCTGCAACGCATGCTGGATCGATGTGGCGTGAAGCATGTTACGGTGGTTTGCCACTGCCCTAGTGCCTACCTGAGCGCTTGACCTGGGTTGGTAGAACAATTCTAGGAGCGGAGGTAAAGTTAACATGATGTACAAAATCTAGTAGAGCTAGAACGATGGGCTGAAGTGAAAACTAAGGAGCCAGGGAAGAATACATGAAAAAGGCAAGAAAAACAAAAAGGCAAACGTTGAGAAGTGATTTGCCGTAGGCTAAAATGCCCAACTGCAATTGAACCGTGTTCGGTGCAAACGCAACATACGGTTTCAGGGTTGGTTAGTGAATTTGGTTCCACCATACGGCATGTGGCTAAATGCGGAAGACGCATTACACGAGGCTCCCGATTCCTTTTTAATTGCTTAAAATGTTTCGTTTGAGTCGAATTGTGCAATTCCCTGTTTTGAACAACATGTAACTGAAAATTCAGAAACTTCTCCAGCCACATCTTTTCCCTAACGTCAGCTAAAGGCTATTGCTAAACGAAGACAGCGAGGTTGGATGACACAGTGGAAGAAGAGTGAGTGTGACAGTGATTGCGTGTGATGAGCCGATTTTTTAGTCGACTCATCACGGCTGGATGACAAAGTGGAAGAAGAGTGACAGTGACATTGATTGCTCGCAAGAATAACATTGGCTTGTAAGGCGAACAGTGTTTGCATGGCGTGAAGTACAGTGTTTGCAGTTTGGTGAGGGAGGAGAGCCAGGCCAGGCCGTTTAGAGTGCCGGTGAGACTCATGTCTCCCAACTCCAACCCAAAAGCTCTGCGTGCACGTGAGGCATGCAAGCAGCAACATTGCACATGAAGGGTGCACGTGGTACAGTCACAAAAACCCTATGCCAAGTTTGGACGAATTTTGATTTCGATTGTCTTCGCGTAAAAAAATCCGGAGCCAATTTGGACCGACGGTTGGAGTCATTTGATAGGAGCTCCGAGACACATCTCGCGACAAGGTTTGGCTCGGTTCAAGTTCCAATTTGGCACGCGAGCTTTTCCGGATGACATTCGGGCGCAATCCGTTTTGTTGCAAATTCGTGACCAAATTATTCAAAACTAAATTCTGTTTTTGTTCATTTTGGATATTGAGGATTTCAAAATTGCATTTATTATTGCGGTTTACAAGAACCATTATTCAGCATTCTAGCAACAAGCAGTCTTAGCACCAGGTCAAATAGCCTACGCACTGGCGGGCCTTGAAAGCGCCCGGTGGGCAAGGACGACATCTCCAAGGTCGCCGTCGTTGATGAGGAACTTGTTCGGAAAGACGAACGCACCCATAGCCGGATCGTGGGGGATCCTCCGCTCCACGACAGCAAAATGGATCATCTGTTTAACCTTTTCGCACCACTCCTGGTAGTCTGGCCTGTTCTGCTCCGGCTGGCTACTGATTCGCTTGCGACGCTTATCCTGCAGAAGGGGCCATTCGATCTGCAATGTGGTGTAGGGTTGGGTGGATGGTTTATGAGGAGGGTAGGTTACGGGTAAATGAGGCAACTGAAAGCGGTGATGCAGTCGTCACTATCTACGTAACTGCAAAGGCCTAATCGACCAGGGTTTTAGCTGAAGTACAGGCAAGGGGTTAAGGGGATGAGGCATGGGGGTACAAACACATATCTACATCCTTACCGAAAACAGGCCCCATGCCACCATGCGGCTCTTGAACTTGGTGAACACCGCCCCGCCCCTCTTGAAGGAGAGCTTGAACGCATAAGCGAACAAGAGGTTGCTGAAGGGTGTCCCGGTGGCCTTGTCAAAGTGCCAGTTGAGGGCCCACTGTTCTGCTTTTTGGCAGGGAGGGTATGGGTTGGAAAGGGTTTTGTAGAGAAATCAAATGGGGGGATGAGAGTCAGGGTGAGCCACATCGCACGGTGATATGTAGCTGCCAAGGGGCATATGGTAGGGCATATTGTGTTTTCGAGTTGCACTGCACATACCATCTCTGTACTCGGCTAGGAGTTGATCGTCGTCGAACCAGGTCGTTGGGTGTAGCTCAGTGGGCAGGCTATCCACGAGATGGCTGTAATTGGCAAGGCCCATGCCGGTGTATGCTACTGGCCTGAGGGTGGAGTTGATAGTTGACCTTGTTGAGGACAGCTGGTGGTTGAAGACTCCCATGGTTGACTTGTCATTGTGCAACCACAGCAGCTTCATTGCCTCGAGCCCTTCTGCAGACAAGTGGACAGAGAACGCTTCGAACACTTCCTCCGGTGCAGGGTAGTACTGTATTTTCTCCGGCGGGTTCAGAAACATGAGCTGAGAGCACACTAAGTAGGCTTTGTTCTGCGCAGGGGTGTAAGGTATACAACACGACATGGAAGAGAGAAACCAGCAGTTATGAGGGTGGCCGCGTGACCATGGGATGGTGACTAGCAACACTGTTTGAACTTGCCACGTCACACCCTGCGCCATCCGACACGTCCACCAACAACCCGGCCCACTTGCCACGTCACACCCCCCTACCACAAGCCACGTCACCCCCCACCCACCTGACACGCCTCGCTTCGTCATGCGCAGTGGTCACGTGTACCATTTCTAACCGCCACGTCATCCCGAACCCTCACCTTCCGCCACGTCACACCCACCTGCATCCGCCACGTCATCCCCAACCCTCACCTTCCGCCACGTCACACCCTCCTTGTCCGCCACGTCCACCAACCAGCCCCACGTGCCACGTCACACCCTCCTGCATCCGCCACGTCCACCAACAACCAGCCCCACGTGCCACGTCACACCCTCCCACCCCATGCCACGTCACCCCCCACCCACCTGACACGCGTCGCCTCGTCACGCGCCGCTCCCGTGTACCATTCCAAACCGCCACGTCAGCCCCAACCCTCACATTCTGCCACGTCACACCCTTTTGCATCCGCCAACAACCCGCCCTACTTGCCACGTCACACCCCCCACCAAGAGCCACGTCACCCTCCACCCACCTGAAACGCCTCGCGCCGTCATGCGGCACTCCCTTGCACCCTTTCACACCGCCACGTCATATCCCAACCCTCACCTTTTGCCACGTCACACCCAACCCGCATCCGCCACGTCCACCAACAACCCGCGCCACTTGCCACGTCACACCCACCCACCCCATGCCACGTCACCCCCCACCCACCTGATACGCGTCGCCTCGTCACGCGCCGCTCCCGTGTTCCCTTCGAAACCACCACGTCAGCCCCAACCCCACCCTTGTTGCCACGTCAACCCCAACCCTCCCCATGTGGCCCGCCACATACCGGGAATGGGTTTGTCTCCTGCAACACTAGCACTCGTGCCTTGTCCACGGCGCTCATCGGCGGCGGGGTACCAGCCATAGGCAGGGCTGCCGACCCGCCGGCATAGCTGGCAGGTACTCCACGACGCAGGCCGAGCTGTGCAAACATGGCGTACATCTCAGACCGCAGCGCCTGGAACTCCTCCCGTGTAACAAACTGCTCGTGCTCCGCACTTTCACCTAGGGCACCCATGAGCAGAGGAAAAGGGTGTGAAGAATCCCCCCTCTGGCCAAGGGGATCAACGTCTTCTGCAGCAGTCCCGTGTGCCCTCACACTATCACGCTGGCGGGAAAAGGGGAGCTCAGGGAAGGGATTGGCATAACTGCCTGCCTGATGCCCGCGCGAAGGATCGGCGAGAGGGGAGACCGCCCTGCCCCGGACAGGAGAAGCGTGGAGTTGCCGAAATTGGTACGAGGGTGAGGCGAGTGGGGACTGCGTGACGGGGGCAGGTGGAGGGGATTCGGATTCCTCTCCTCTTGGCGCGCCTGGTGCCGTCGCAGCGACTTTGCTCGGGCCGGCCCATGGCGTGTAGTACCTTGGTGCTCCAGAGGAGAGCGGTGTAACACTCGCTCTTCCGGCAGCCTTCGTTAGATGCATTCGTTGCACGCTTACGGGCGGCCCAATGCCTGTAACGCGAGGGGCTGAGATGTAGAGGGAGCCGGAAAAAAAAAATAGAGTCGATCGGTTTCAAGGCGGGGCCAGACATGCATGCATATTCAGAAATGTTTGAATCTAGATCGGGTTCAGGGTTGTACTGGTTTGAGACAAGAGGGTTTACCTTGCTTGGCAGATTCGTCGACCTTCTCCTTCCCTGCATGGGAGAAACAATGTGAAAAAAGGGTGTTTTTTGGCATGGTTTAGCAGATGGTTCAACACGTCACGCCAGTTTTATTGGACACAATGCTCACCTTTCTGCTGTCCCTTCGGTTTTGATGCAGCCTACGCCTTCTCGTTGCCACCTTTCCGCGGGGTGCTTTGGCGGACGCTGCGACGTTTACCGGCAGGTTCTTTCTTGCTGGTACCCACTGGAACCTCTTTGGCGCGGCCACCCTTTCCTCCTCTATCCCCTTTTGCTCCCTGGCTCCCTTGCTTTTTACCAACCCCTTCACTTTCGACCTTCACCTTACGCGCCTTCGGTTTGCCCGATGCTTCGCCGCGCGCAGCGTCAACTGCCCCGCGTTTTCGGGAAGGGCGAGTCCGGCCCCCCTCCTTCCCTGTACCACTCACCCGTCTGCCACGCCCGCCCCGTCCCTTCACTGGCGCCACATCCTCCTCCTCCTTCTCCTCCTCCTCCTCCTCCGCTGCCTCCTCCTCCTCCTCCTCCTCCACATCCTCCTCCTCGTCGTCACCCTGCTCCTCCTCCTCCTCCTCCTCCTCCTCCTCCTCCTCCTCCTCCTCTGCCTCCTCCTCCTCCTCCTCCTCCTCCTTCTCTGCCTCCTCCTCCTCCTCCTCCTCCTCCTCATCCTCCTCCTCCTCCTCCTCCTCCTCTTCGTCCTCCCCGCCATCATTCTCATCTTTTTCATCCTCCCCAACATCCGCGTCATCCTCCTCCGCTTCCTCTTCATCCTCCTCTCCCTCCGCATCCTCCTCCTCATCCTCCTCCTCCTCCGCATCACCGGGGTCTTCATCGCCCCGTTTCGGCTTTGTTCCCGTCGCTGCTTTCTTGCCTCTCCTTCCGCCGGATGCTTTTCTTGCTGCGGGTCGGCCCTTCTGGCGCAATGCTTGACCGCCCGCCTTGCCACTAGCTTCCTTGGCGCCTCGCGGTGTCCCAACTGCCGCGCCTCCGGCGTCGTCAGCACTACCTGTCGTCTGCCGCCTCTTCGCCCGCGTAATGAGGTCCCCGGGCACGGCGGTGTCATAATCGTCCTCCCCATCGCTCTTCCTCTGCCTACGCCTCCCCCGTCCACCAGAAGGTGGAGAGCCACCGACCAGCCCCACCGACTCGTGCTCCCCCACCTTGTCCTTATCCAGCACGGCTGCAGAAACTTCGACCACGGTCGGCTGGAGCAGCGTCAGATGGTGTTGCGTTGCCGCCGCCTTGGACTCCTTGGTTGCGGCATGCTCGGCGCGGGGATCGCCTCCGTGATTTCCCTCCGTCGCCGATCCCTCCATCTCCGCCGACGGGAGTGCAAGACTCGCGCTCCCTCGCCCCGGATCTTCGTTGCCGCCAGTGGTGCCGTCTTTACTCGGACCGGGCTCGGTTCCAGCAGAGGCAACATCCGCATCTTTGTTCACTGTAGAAACACGCTTGCGTGGCGTTGGTTTAGGCCCCTTGTCTTCCGCTTTCTTGCCGGCCTCCTGTTGACCGCGCGCGACCTTTTTTGCCGCCGCTTTTTTCTGCCCAATGCCACGAGCGACGGACGCATTAGTTTTTTTAGCGCCGCCACCACACTCCCTATCGATTTGTTTAGACGTCCTCCTTGTCGCGCGGCGGCCGGCCTGTTCCTCCTCCATTGCTTGGTTACGTGTTGCACGTGTCATGGTAATTGTAGGAGGAGCAAAGTTGCAAATCGCGCGGAAGGGTTGAGCCGGTTTCAAAAGGGTTCTGCAACTGAATCCCACGATGGGATTATCGACGGTCTATCACTGTTATGTGTTTCCGAAAACCGCCGCTTCAACTAAATCTGTCATAGTAGCCACTATGCTTCGCGCTAAGGCCGATCTGGAGAGGCGTGTGTCAAGGCAACGAGCAGCGTCAAAGTGTTGGTCCAGGGAGTGACGGAAGCAGGTGGGTGGGACACGAGGGTGGTTGGGGTGGGTTGCGAGACTAGAGAGAGTAATGTAACCCTATCAGGCTATATTGGACGGTGTACGTGTAGCCACCCTAGCATAAACCCACCTACCGCTCGATCTCAGCCGCTCAATGGCTGAAGTACCTCTTGGCTGATGACTGTGTTGCGGGGGGAATCGTTTGAGATGCGTCGGCCAATCACGGTTGCCAACGCATAAATCACTAAATTTTATTCAAACATACAACAATGCATTTCATCAAACTCTAAGTTGCAAATGGTTTACCACGAGGTTGGGGTAAGTTAATCGGTGATTCTTACATCACACACACAACGACCGTCCAGAATTATTACTTGTGACAGATGTACTGTGCACTTTTAGGCTTTGCCACAATGGTTTAGGGCCAGCGGACGACATTCTAACACGATTATCAATAGTAACAAACGTGAATCCGTTGTGGTATGGTGTTGGATTGTCATCCATTCTTGCACAGACATTAAACAAGGTGCTTAGAAGGAGTGGTATGAAGCACAGGCCCAACGCACAAGCGTAGATGCGTTATCGACAGCCATGGTTAGACTGTGCGACGATGCAGCGTTCAGGCCTGCGGGTTGCGCGACATGGTGAATCCGTTGTGGTATGGTGTTGCATTGGCATCCATTCTTGCACAGACATTAAACAAGGTGCTTAGAAGGAGTTGTATGAAGCACAGGCCCAACGCACAAGCGTAGATGCGTTATCGACAGCCATGGTTAGACTGTGCGACGATGCAGCTTTCAGGCCTGCGGGTTGCGCGACATGGTGAATCCGTTGTGGTATGGTGTTGCATTGGCATCCATTCTTGCACAGACATTAAACAAGGTGCTTAGAAGGAGTTGTATGAAGCACAGGCCCAACGCACAAGCGTAGATGCGTTATCGACAGCCATGGTTAGACTGTGCGACGATGCAGCTTTCAGGCCTGCGGGTTGCGCGACATGGTGAATCCGTTGTGGTATGGTGTTGCATTGGCATCCATTCTTGCACAGACATTAAACAAGGTGCTTAGAAGGAGTTGTATGAAGCACAGGCCCAACGCACAAGCGTAGATGCGTTATCGACAGCCATGGTTAGACTGTGCGACGATGCAGCTTTCAGGCCTGCGGGTTGCGCGACATGGTGAATCCGTTGTGGTATGGTGTTGCATTGGCATCCATTCTTGCACAGACATTAAACAAGGTGCTTAGAAGGAGTGGTATGAAGCACAGGCCCAACGCACAAGCGTAGATGCGTTATCGACAGCCATGGTTAGACTGTGCGACGATGCAGCGTTCAGGCCTGCGGGTTGCGCGACATGGTGAATCCGTTGTGGTATGGTGTTGCATTGGCATCCATTCTTGCACAGACATTAAACAAGGTGCTTAGAAGGAGTGGTATGAAGCACAGGCCCAACGCACAAGCGTAGATGCGTTATCGACAGCCATGGTTAGACTGTGCGACGATGCAGCGTTCAGGCCTGCGGGTTGCGCGACATGGTGAATCCGTTGTGGTATGGTGTTGCATTGGCATCCATTCTTGCACAGACATTAAACAAGGTGCTTAGAAGGAGTGGTATGAAGCACAGGCCCAACGCACAAGCGTAGATGCGTTATCGACAGCCATGGTTAGACTGTGCGACGATGCAGCGTTCAGGCCTGCGGGTTGCGCGACATGGTGAATCCGTTGTGGTATGGTGTTGCATTGTCATCCAACATTGCATGGATATTGAAACCGTTGTGTTATTGTACGACATTGTCATCCATTCTTGCATACTTATTTAGCACGGTGCGTAGAGGTACACTACACATCGAGAGAAGACACGCTATAGGTATTCGCTCCACGCAGCAATCATACGTTAGGGCATGGAGTTATTGGGTACTTCCCGTATCGTTATCAAGTAAGGGTTGTTCAACATCAGTCCTAAGGATATGAATGTTTACTAGTTATGAATGACTTGAGTATCTTGTTAAGTTGTAATTGTACATTTGCATTTCCATGTTTGTTTGAAGCCTCTTGAGCTCACCTACGTGATTCTGATTTCCCCCCTATATCGATTCGCGACACAATCACAGATCCAAACGGATCTCTTCCCGCTCTTCCTCATCCCCCTCGACTCTCACGCACGGTTCCTAAACACAAGTTCTTGACTCAATAGGCACGTCCTTCTCACCGTGCTCGCGACGCACACACACGACCGTGAGACTTAAGATCCTCCGAATTCTCCTCTGCTCACGTCGTGGTCACTCTAAACGGGGCCGACACGCCTTGTAGGGAAGACGGCCCGTTAGGTGGGCGGTCTGTATCGTGCCTGGTAACGACCACGCGGCTCGACATCGTTAGCCAGTCATAAACATTAGCGCCAATGTCAAGTGTCAGTCGTGCAGTGATACAAGCCGCCCACCACAGTGCGCGCATTGGCGATGATCGTGTAGCTGTCACAGGCTTCTTGAACGGAGTACTTAATGCGTTCACAAGCTTCATCACGGCTAGTAGCTTCATAGGCAATTTCTCGACTCTACAACGGATCCGTAACACATGGGCTCTTTACCAGGCGTCGTCTGCGAGTTCTGCAACAGATGGTTCCCAAACGCCCAAGTTTATGGGGGTCATAAGTCACGGCGGACCCCTTGCCAAGGACTATCCGCCGTGGCAAGGCCGACGCGATCTGCACCGACCGCCGGTCTTCACGCTCTGCTATTCGTCCACGACATTCTGTCGGACGCTCCAGCCGCTCCCGGTTCACCTACAGCGTCTAACGCATCCAACGCCGTCAGTGTGAGCGGTCCTCCACGCGTGCCTGAAGCTCACGTTGACGAAACTCCCAACGACGTGAACGAGGGGCCTCCTGAAGATGAACATCAACCACAACCAGGAGCTCCTGCGGCTGACACGAGTGACCATCCTGAGAGCCGGCCCGAAGGGAGTCATGCCGCGCCGCCAACAATCATCTCCGGACAGAGCAATGCCACGCCCCTCAATCCGCTCGCGTTGAAGCTGCTGCATTTTGTTCGGCGCGTGAATGGCGGAATGGGAATGGCCGAGGTTGACATCAACGGCCTGCTTCAGCTAGTCGTAGAGCCCGGCCTTGCGCCTCTTGTGATCTCGGAGCTCCGGAACTGTAAGGATATGGAGCGGTTCGAGATGGAGCGTTTGGCAGGGCTCAATCGCGGATGGTCGGTGGCGACCTTCGAGATTGACGGTCATCCACCACAGCGCTTGCTCTTTCAGAACTCAGCCCAGGTAAGCCGACTTTGCATTCAAGGCCGTGAAATGATGATGAGGCACACAGGGTTTGCATGTACGTAGTTATCCTTGTATTAACCGTACATCCACCTTCACCGCCACTAACCATGCCTCTCCTCTCACCTGCCTTCGCCACCGTACACCAGGCATTCGCTGAAATGTTTGGACATCCCAACAACGCGGCCGGCTTCAAGCTCAAGGCGCGTGTTGATGAGGACCCTGACGCAGGCGGCCGTCGCTATACCACGCCTGAAACAGGAACGTGGTGGAACGATGCTCAGGTAAGGAAAGACCACGTTGCCACCCCAAACCCAATCCTTCCTCATGCCTCCATCGCTGCACTGATCTGTCAAGAGCATCTTGAGCCCTAAACCGTGTGTCCGTTGCCGCTTTGTCGTGCACTGCAGGAACACTTCGGTTGGTCCGAAGTTGTGGGGGGGATCATCTTATATTCGGATGTGACGCACATGAGCATCAACGGCCGGAAGAAGGCGTGGCCGCTCATGATGACGCTGGCCAACATCTCCCAGGCCAAGCGATGGGGGAAAGCCGGGCACTCACTACTTGCCCTCCTTCCTATCCCCCCGTCTGCAATGTCTGCCGTGGAGAAGGTGATGCTCTTCCAGCGTTGCGGCATCACCGTGCTGCAGCCGCTTCTTGATGGCATCGCCAGGTCCGTACTCGGTTTGCATCTTGCTAAGACATCATCTCACCACCTGCATGGTATGCAAACCCTCTCTGTATGTAGCATGGCCCTTTGCCCCTCGTCGTTCCTCCCTAAAAGCCGTAACCCGAATTCCTGTTGCCCCTCTACCTGTTCCTTGCAGCGGGTTCCGTCTCAGGGACCCTTTCGGTGATTGGCAAACCGTGCGGCCCCTGCTGTACGCCTGGGTGTGCGACTACCCCGAGAGCGGCAAGATCAGTTGCACACTCTCGCATGGATCGTGGATGCCGTGCAGCATCTGCTATGCTGCAAAGGTGAGGTCACATGCCATCTGCACGCATTCAAATACATTCTCGTTTGTGGGTCGCCTGATAGAACCCACATAGCTACCACCCTTACCTTTCTATCCCATCCCTCACCCCCGTGCTACAACAGGAGCATCTGAGTGCTGTCAAGGC